GTAGACAAACCTCTGTAAAGGGCCCCATGGTTCCGGCGTCTCCAGAGAACTATTCCCAGGGCCAAGATGGTGACTCCCTGTCCCAGAACACAAAGCAGCAACAGGATCTTTTGGGTATCCCAGGTTGGTGAGACCACACAGTGGGCAGGAAGGGCATCTGGGGAGGCTGCAGCTAGAAGGAGATAATAATAATTTTATTTATATCCTCAAGGTTTACAAAATGCTTTACATAATTATCTCATTTGAGCTTTGCAGCAACTTTGTGATGTAGGTGCTACTGCTATCCCCATTTTATAGATGGAGAAACTGAGGCTGAAAGGGATTAAATAACTTACCCAGGATCACATTGTTAATAAGTGGTTGAGGGGAGATGAGATATGACTCAGGATGAGGATGAGGGGTTGGGGTATGTGTGGGGAAGCCAATGGAAAAATCCTCATCCTCATTCCAAATTACATACCCTATAAAAACTGATGATTTCAGGTAGGGAATAGCTAGCTCCCCTACTACTATAGATTTACAGAATTCTTGTACAGGAAGAGATCTTATCTTTTATTCCAACCCAGTCACTTTATAGAGGAGAGATCAGAGAGATAAAGTGACTTACCTGAGGTCACACAGCTAATTAGGATTACTCAACTTGTTCTTTCTACATTTATTATATTTCCTTTCACAACAGAAGGCTTCTACCTTCTATACAATTGTTAAGTGTGACTAGAGCCACCTATTGCCACACATTCTACTGTCTACCTTAATCCCAAAGAGAAAAATCATATTAAAGAACTACATTATAGGGGCAGCTAGGAGGCTCAGTGGATAGAGCAATGGCCCTGGAGTCAGGAGGACCTGAGTTCAAATCCAGCCTCAGACAATTGACACTCACTAGCTGTGTGACCCTGGGCAAGTCACTTAACCCCATTGCCTAGCAAAAAAAACCCCAAAAAACAAAAAAACAAAAAACTACATTATTTCCCAACTTCTTAATAATAGGGGGTGATTCTTACATGAAAATGAATTTTGCCTTTCCTCCTTTCTCTTACTTCTATAATGGTCTTTTCTTCCTGAAATATGTGGATGGTTTCTTTTTTTTTCCCATGGTTCTTCCCCAGTCCCTGGAAATGGACTGTGCCCCACCAAACAGCATCATAATATCACTCTTTTCTGTCTAATGTACTATTCCACTAGGATTATTTTTCTTCTCTCCTCCCCTTCCCCTTTCCAGCAGTGTGCAATTCTAGCAACAGGGCACACGTATCCTTTCTTTAACAGCAATGCCATCAGAAATTTTGTGTGTGTGTTATTTTCTCCCCTTTCTACTCCTCTATCAAAAAGCATTTGAGGGGCAGCTAGGTGGCTCAGTGGATAGAGCACTGGCCCTGGATTCAGGAGGACCTGAGTTCAAATGCAGCCTCAGACACATAACACTTACTAGCTGTGTGACCCTAGTCAAGTCACTTGACTCCACTGCCTAGCAAAAAAAAAAAAAAAGGCATTTGATAATTTTGGACTGCAGACTGTTCCACCAAAAGTACTTGGGTTTCATCATCCTCTCCCCTCTATGAGTTATTCTTATAATAACTCACATTTACATTTTAATTTTTATATATTTGTATATGACTCACAATAACCTTGGAAGATAAGAAGTATAGGTATTACTATCTGTGTTTTACTGATGAGGAAACAGGCTATGAGAGTTTAAATGACTTGCCCAGGGTCACAATTCCAGTTCCTACCCTACAATGGGTTATTTTACAATAGTAGTAATAGTAACAACACAATTCTGTTGCACTATCTACTACACAAGGTTATTGAAAAGAAAGTAGGTTTTTTCCCTCAAACTTAAATAGCTATACAAATGTGAGCTATTATTTTTATTATTATTCCCTTCCCCAAATTCACCTGTCAGGTTGAAATTGATGCCCTTGTTCTGGGGGAAAATGCAACGAATGCTCCTGGCCTTTCGGCTACGGGACTCTGAGGTTCCCTGCACAGGACACACCATGAGAAGGGAAGCATTCTTCCCCATGAAAGTTTCCGTCCTACCCTTCACTTTCCCCTTCCCTTCCAGCCAAGCCACAGAGTCCAGGAAAACTGCTGAGACCACTGAACAGACCAGGATTGAGCAGACAGAACCATCAGTAGTCTTTGCTGACAGCTGGAAGCCTGTTGGAAAAAAAAGGGGGGGGGGAGCAATCCACTATATTATCACCCATGTTCACCAAACCCCTGCAGCCATAGTGAACAACTGGGGCAGCCAGTGGCTTTTGCCTAGCTTTCTTCATCATCTTCAGAGCTCAGTGTTCTCAGGGAAATGGGTGATTGTGATGACAGAAGAACCTGGTGAGGGGCTTCATGATCACATATTCTCCCTCTATCCTCTCCCCAGAGGTCTCCTCATTTCCTTTGAGACTCCCTTGGCCCCCTGTATTCTGTCTCTTCTCTTTATCCCCAAGAGATTCCATAAGCCCCCTCTCACCTCTGATCACCGAGAGGTCATATACCCTCCAGTTCTGGTAATTGAAATATTTGCCAAGCACAGCACACCAGTATCGTCCTGCATCCTCCTCCTTAGCCCCGTCTAGCCACAGGGAATTATTCCTCAGCAGACTTAGCCTGACTTCCCTCAAGGTCGTCTCAGTCTCTGGAGCCTTGTCAGCCATGGGGACACGGATCACTAAGATAGTAGGGAATCCAGACACCGGGCTTCGGAACCACGATAGCACTTCATCTCCATACAAGGTAGGAGGTGCAGGGCATGGTAGTTCCACAGTCTCCCTGAGGGCCACATATGTGGACAGAATACGATCTGTTTGGAAGGAGGGTGATTGACAGGAGGTTAGTCCAAAAAGAGGGGACAGACCCCACCCTACCTCCATCTGACTGACTCCTTTCTTCCTTTCTTCCTTTCTCCTTATAGGCTTTGTCATATTCTTGGTTGTTCTAGGTAACACAGTGGATAGAGCACCAAGTCTGGACACAGGAAGACCTGAGTTCAAATCTAGTCTCAGATACTAAATAGTTGTGTGTCCCTGGACAAGTCATTTAACCTGTTTGCCTCAGTTTCCCCATCTGTAAAATGGGGATAATAATCTCACCTTCCTCCCAGGGTTGTTGTAAGGTAAATGAGATAATAAGTAAAGTGCTTACCTCGAACAGTGCCTGGCACACAGTAAGCACTATATAAATATTAGCTTATCCTTATTATTAATATTACCTGTGGGAGGGTACTCTCTCTCTCAAGCTATAGCATAGGGTTGCAGAAAAGAATGGAAGGAAAATTTCTTCCTTTTATAGGAAGGAAGACATAATGGGAGACATAACCAAGCTCTAGCTGGAAAGGGAGAAATGAATTTCCCTTTCTTGCCTCCCTTTCCTAAGAATGGAATCATGCAAAAAGATTGGGAAACAATAGGGAAACCCAATCCAAATTTTGCCTTTCAGGACTTTTTCTAAGAATGGAGTTACCAAAAGAGGTCTGAAAACACTGGACAAGTGAACCAAAGGAAATTTAAACAAAGGTGTCATGGGAGAGAAATTTACCATTGGGTCATGGTTGGAGGTGCCTATCACACTCCACCGCCACTACTAGACAGAGATACTTGAGTTGCTGTTCTCTTTTTCTTTCCCCAGCCTGCCTCTAGTCAATCCCTCCTACCATCCCTGGATCAGAATGGTTATGTCCTGTACCCTATTTGTTTCCACAGTCTCCTTGGCTTGATTTCATCATTAGATATGGGAGGTGGTAGAGATAATGGGCAATTCTCTTGGGTTGCTGTGTCAGTGAAGACTAGGAACACACCTCTGCACTAACATCAGAACACCCCTCCTTCCCCACCCCTCATCTAGAGAAAAGTGTAAAACCCCTAATCTTGAGGACATTTTCAAGTCCCTAACTCCACCTGCTGCTACTCACCTGAGGAGATCTGAGGGATGAATGGGAGTAGGAGAAATAAGAAGCAGAGGAGTATGCAAGCCATGGGAAGTGTCTACACAAGAATGCTTTCATAGGGAGATGAGTGTCTTAAGGAGGAAATAGGGTCAAGATAACAGACCATAGTTCCAGGGGCCTGGATGATATGGTACTCCGATGGGGATGAGAACACAAGCAATAATAAACTAACAGCTATTCTGTCCACTGGAGATAAGAGGATAGTGGCCTCTCTGGGGTGTGTATTGGGGGAGCCCCTTCAGCCCTTCATGGACTCCCAGGGCTTTCATATATGGAGGGACCCACTGACCATTTCCTGTAACCCAGAAAGGATTATAGTTGATAGAACATTATGCCATATTTAGAGACTCTCAAGTCCTTGCATAGCTTTTTGACAGGGGTACACAACTGTCTTTGCCACAGCAAAATAAGGGGGTCAAAATAAGAGACACTTTTTAATGTTTCTTGGCTAGGCAATGGGGTTAAGTGACTTGCCCAGGGTCACACAGCTAGTAAGTGTTATGTGTCTGAGGTCGCATTTGAACTCAGGTCCTCCTGACTCCAGGGCTGGTGCTCTATCCATTGCGCCATCAAGCTGCCCCTAATGCTTTTTTTTTTAAGTATATATTTTTAATTCCAGAGAATCCCAAGATATATATGTATTTATGGCGCAATTATTATGATGAAGACAGTCTCTGGTAGACAGTAACACAGGGGGCACATTAATCAAATCTTGCCTAGAGTGGACTTGTGAGTGAGCTCGTTTCAGTTCTGTCCTGTTCTCTCTTTTTGGCCTATCCTTAATCTACTAAACCCATTGAATCAACTGGGCAATTTACTTCTTTTTTCCAGATCTCAGTTTCCCTATCTTCAAAATGAGGTGGATGGACTAGGTAATTTCTAAGCGTTTGTTTTTTTTTCTAGCTCCAGCCCCCTGTATCTCTGAGCTTTTCTTAGTAAAGAAAAATATAATATATTCATCATTGTTTCCTGGGTATACCTCTCATTCCCCCATCAGACTGGGGTTTCCCTGAGAGTAGGAATCTAAATGCTATCTTAATTTTTTTATTTAAATTTTTACTGACATTATTTTTTATCTCCTCCCTCATTTCCTTCCTTAGAAATTATGACTTTTATTGACATTATTTTGTATTCAATAATAGAAAAATCCTAGCTTGGATATCCATTGGCTCCCAGAATCCTGCAGGTGGTATTCCAGTCAAGGGCTTGCCTATAGCTTTCTTTTCCTTGTTTGTTTGTTTGTTTGTTTGTTTGTTTTTAATTAAATTATTTCCAACGAACAAAAATCTATTTTCTTTCCCTTCCACCTCTCCCCACTGAAAAAAAGAAGGAAAAAAAAACCCCTTGAAACAAATATGCATAGTAAATAAAAAAAATTCTAACATTAACCATGTCAAAAAAAGTATATCTTATTCTATACTTTTCTGTCAGGAGAGTTACATACTTCACCCTAAATCCTCTGGAGTCATAGATGGTCAACGTGTCAATCAGAGTTCTTAAGTCTTTCAGAGTTGTCTTTACAATGTTGCTGTTATTGTATACATTGCTGCTGTTATTATTCTGGTTCTGCTCATTTCACACTGCATCAATTCACACAAGTGTTCTCAGGTTTCTCTGAAACTGCTCCTTTGATCATTTCTTATAGTATAATACTATTCCATTATATCCACATATCACCATTTTGTTCAGTCATTCCCCAAATGATGGACACCCCTTTAGTTTCTGGCTTTTTGCCACCACAAAAGTTTTTGCTAGAAATATTTTTGCACTTTCTTTCTTTGATTCCTTTAGTAGTAGTGGTGGGCCTAGTTGGTTGTATAGCTGGGCAAAAGATTATATACAGCTTAATGATCTGGGGGCACAATTCTAAATTGTTGTTCAAAATGGCTGTACCCATTCACATTTCCCTCAACAGTGCATTAATGTTGCTGTTTTCCCATAGCACCTACATTTGTCATTTATATTTTTTGGTCATCTTTGCCAGTCTGATAGGTGTGAAGTGGAATTTTGGGGTTGTGTCAATTTGTATTTTTTGAATTATCAGTGATTTGGAGCATGTTTTCTTATGGCTGTTGATATGTCATTTGGATGTTTTTTTGAGAACTGCTTATTCATATCTTTTGATGATTTATCAGTTGGGAAATGACTCTTGTTCTTATAAATTTGAATCAATTCTTTGTATCTTTTGGAAATGAGACTTTTATCAGATAAACCTGCTACAAAGATATTTTTCCAAGTTAACTCCTTCCCTCTAAAACAGTCAATGTCTTCTGTTTTTTATATTATCATGGCCCCCCTCCAGAAAGCCATCCCATATAACAAATAGTACTTTTTAAAGAAAAAAAAAAGATGAAAAATGCCCCACAATTGATCAATACATTGAAAAAGTCTAAATACATGTGAAATGTGCAACATCTATGGACCTCCAATTTCCATGAAGGGGTTCTTCTATTTTAACTGCATAGATTGTTCGCATCATATCCAAATATATCCCTCCCTTCTCTCCTACCAAAAAAGTGGGGGCCATCTCCAGTCATCCTGATCTATACCTTGCCACTGGACCCAGACAGCTCGGAGGAGGAAGTGAGGCTGGTGACTTTGCATGGCCCTCTCTCACTTAAATTCAATTCACTTGCAAGTCATGGCATCACCTTTCTGATGTCACAGTCCTCTTTGAGAATGAAGGACACACAACAACAATAACCAAAGGAATATTCCTTGTATGAAAGAGAAAAAGATAGAGAAAAGAAGTTCAGCAAAACTTATCAATGGAGGCCGAGAGTCCACAGTGTTCCACACCAATAGAATAGTTGCCTCTACAAAGAAGGAAGGAGATGCATTTTCTCATCTCTTCTTTGAGGTGACTTAGTCATGGTAATTACACATCCTTCAGTTTTAGGTTTTCTGTTGTTCTTTCCATTGACATTATTGTTCACATCATCTTTTTGGTTCTGTTTACTCCAATTTGGTTCTGTTTACTCCAATGACTAAACTGGAAAACTAGTTGTGCATATCATCTTTTTAGCCTGTTTACTCCACTTTTCATCAGTTTGTATGTCCTGCCATGCTTATCTGCATTTTTCTCATTACTCATAGTGAAGCAATATTCCATTACATTCATGTCCCATAGTTAATTTAGCCATTTTCCAATTGATGGTCATCTACTCTGCTCTTGGTTTTTTGCCACTACCAAAAATGCCTTAAATCATTGTAGTATACCTGGGACCTTTCTATTTCTCTTTAACCTTCTTGTGATATATCCCTGCCACTGGGATTTTGGGGTCTAACTAAATGCTATTTTTATTTACAAGCTGGATCCAACATGAAAGTATGTTCTTTGAAGGAAAGTTTTATTTTATTTTTGTCTTTTTAATACATTTCTGTTTAATTTCTAGCCTTAACCTAACACTACTTCAAGTACTCCCCAATAAACTGGACTATTCTCTAGTCCCCATAATACTCTTTCCCATTTCTCCACTTTTTCTTACCCCATTCCTCACACATGAAATACCCATGTCCACATTACCTCCCTTCCCTTACTCAGAATCACAGAATCTCAGAGTTAGAAGGTACCTCTAATCCATCCTGAAATTGGAAAAAGAATTCTCCTTAAAATTTCCCTAAGTATTCATTTAACTTTCATTTGAAGGCCTAAATTAACAGGGAATTCATTACCTCTAAGGCAGCCCATTCACTTTTAGGGAATCCTGAATGGTAGGAAGTTTTCCCTTATATTTAATCAAAATTGGTCTCTCTGCAATTTCTAGTCATTGCTTCTAGTTTTAGTTTAAAGTGGAACAAGTTAAACCCCTTTTCCACTAACAGTTTTTTTTTCCAGTTTAAACATTCCCTGTTACTTTAACCAAACCTCATATTATGTGGTCACCAATTGTTGTAGTTTCCCTCTTATGAAACCATTCAGATTTGTGAATCTCTTTCCCAAAATGTGGTACTGAGAGGACAGTATGACTATCACTTCTCTAGCTAATTAACAAGAATTTAAGTGCTTACAATGTGCCATGCACTGGGGATAGAAAGAAAAGGCTAAAACAGTCCTTGCCCTCAAGGAGCTTACATTATAATATGGGACACCACATGTAAATAGGTACATAACAGGATGCATAATAATATAATAATAATAATAGCTAATATTTACATAGGGGCAGCTAGATGGCGCTGTGGAGAGAGTGCCGGGCCTGGAGTAGAGAAGATATTTTCCTGAATTCAAATCCGCCCTCAAACATTTACTAGTTGTGTGACCTTCAGCAAGTTGCTTAACCCTGTTTGCCTCAGTATCCTTATCTGTAAAATGAGGTGGAGAAGGAAATGGCAAACCACTCCTGTATCTTTGTTAAGAAAACCCCAAATGGGGTCACAATGAGTCTGACATGACTGAAGTGACTGAACAACAACATTTATATAATACGTGAAGGTTTGCAAAGGGCTTTACACATGTTAACTCATTTGAGTATATAGAGTAGATGGAACGCAATCTCAGAAATGAAGGTACTAGTAGGTTGGGAGAATGGGAAAAGACTCTCAGGGATTTGAAAAAAGTCAGGGATTCTAAGAGGTGGAGCTGAGGGAGCAGAGCATTCCAGACATGGGGAGCAGCCAGTGCAAAAGCATGGATATGGGAAGTGGAGAATAACAGGAGAAGAACAAGAAGTAGGACTGGACCATAGAGTATATGGAGAAGGAAAGTATTGTGTTATACACTAGAAACACAACAAAAGACAAGGTTGTGGAGACTTTTAAAAGTCAAACAAGGGACAGCTAGGTGGTACAGTGGATAGAGTACTGGTCCTGGAATCAGGAGGACCTGAGTTCAAATCTTACTTCAGACACTTAACTAGCTGTGTGATCCTGGGTGAGTCACTTAACCCCAACTGCCTCAAAAAAAAAAAATAGATTCCTGGAGGGAATAGGAAATAAGTATGAAGCAGTGTGTGTGTGAGACATGGTCAAACCTATGCTTTAGAAAAATTCACCTTGGCAACTGAATAGTGTAGGAGAAAGAGACCATGGCTGGATACATAGAACTGGGATTCATCAGCACAGAGATGATTATTGAATATCAATCCCATAGGGGCTCATGACACTGACAAGTAAAACAGTATAGAGTAAAAATAGAAGAGGACCCCAGATACTTTTGGAGGACACCCATGATTAGTGATAT